TCTACCCTTCTCGGCTCGTCTCCTGATATCCCCACGACGCGTCCTAGGCTGTGGCTCCAGCGTGCCGTCCAAATGCCCTGGAAGTTCCCTCCATCCCTCTGCCTTGAGTCATGCCTCTGTCTGTTTCCCTTCGTCAGCCCCAGCCCCCTTTCTGGCTCATCACTGCTGGGAAGCGCTGGCTGATTCCTGGCACTGTTGAGCTGTCCCTCTTTTGTGTCCTGCCAGGGGCCCTTCTCCTCACACGACTGAGCTCTCATGTCATTGTCGGTTTGCTGCTTATCTGCCTCACCCTGACCCCTGAGCAGCCCGTGAGCAACTTTAGTGCAAAGACCATGCCGGACCCCACACTGCACCCTCTGCGTTTAGCCTAATGCCAGGCACTTCGTGGGCCCAAGCGCGTGAGTGTTGAGGGGGAGACGGTTACTTGTGGACTGGTGTAATCATGGAAGGCTTCGGGGGGAAAGCAGTGTCTGAGCAGAGCCCTGAAGACACGCTTTCTGTGAAGCTGTATAATTCACTTGGGTCACTCCTGCTTCTATGGCATGAATCTCATTCACTTGCTTTCACTTAAGTCCAATTACTCTTTTGTGTTCCTTGCATCACAAAGTTTCCTTGACATTTTTTATCTCATTCTTCTAGGAACAGGTGTTTTTTCAGTGGGAGCTCCTGCATTTGCACTCTGGCTTCATATTTTACTGTTTCCTACCTCCCCCTCTTACCAAGAATTTGACCCCCACCCGAGAAGCCACTACTCCTTTGGGAGCATTGGTGTCTTCACATATAAGATAAAGAAATGTTGGAATCCCTCTAAGTTTCTCTCTTCTTGGTCTGTTTTCTCTTCTGGGGGAGCCTGGTGCCCGTGACTCCAGTGACTGCCTCCTGCAGCCTGAACCTCCCCGTGGACCTCGGACTGTGTTGTCCGCCCACCTGATTGTTTCTCCAGCGCCTCACAGTCAGTATCTCCAGACTGATCTCTGCCCCAAGTCTGAGCCTCTTCTGGGCATCACTGTCTGACAGTGACACCGTCATCCATCCGGTCACGAGAACAGGAAATGTGGGCAGCCTGCTAGACACCTCTGTCCTCTGCTGCCCCCGCATCCTGTGGATCTTGGTCCTAAACTTGTCTTTGTCTTCTGCATTTGCATTTCTCCTGCCACCGCCCCAGTCTAAACTCTGGGGGCTTTCATCTGCTTTACTGCAGTAGCTTCCTCACAGGTCTCCTTGCACCCACTCAGGCCTCCCTGCAGTCCACCCCCATATCGTCCAAGGCAGTCCTTTGAAAACCAGGCCTGCTCACGTCACTCACAAAGTGAAACAGAACCGTGTCTTCTTGCCTGTGCTCCAAGACTAATAATCACATTTGATAATGTGGCCTCCAGGACTCTACGTGGCCTGGCTCCTGTGTGGTCTAGCCCCGACTTGTTCCATGTCCCCTGTCGCTTTGCACCCGCCGCGCCTCAGAGGTGTCAGGTGCCCTCCTGCTGCAGGGATCTTGCCTGGAACTTCTTTCTCCTTTCTCTTCTTCTGCCTCGTCTCTCCCCTCCTCCCCACCTCCCATTTGCCCAGTGAAATGTTCTCTATTCAGATTTAAACTGAACCATGATTCCTCGAGGACTGTCTCCCTGACCTCTGTAAAAAGGTTTATTCTGCCCCTCACGGGTTTTCGTGGCACTGTGTGGCTCTTCTCTGTAGCAGATTGCACAGTTGTAATTGTACAGTTTCTTGGGTGAACTTTGAGTAATACCTTCTCCCATGTGAACGTGAGCTCCCAGAGGGCGGGTACCCTGTCTTTGATTTCTCACCATTGCATCTGGAAATGAGCTGGGGGGTGGGAGCCCCTGCCTTGTGGACTGTCTCGCCTCCTGCAGGATATCGTGCCTGGCGGGTAAAATGCAGTGGAGGAATAAGGCGTGCATGCCTGACATGTGAAACACCTGGGTCAGTCAGTGCCCCCACCACCACAGTAGGCCTTCAGTAAGGGGTAGGTCCCTCCTAGTGTGGCTCATTGTAAGTGCTCACTTTAATATGGTATTCTGCTGTCTCATTAAGGCTGTGTTGCTTATAAAGGCTTTCCCAAATTGTCAGTGCACGTAAAGTTGATGTCTAGTATGAGTCGTGGTCGTGCTGAGTGGTCTGACAGG